TAACGCTTTTTTGATAAATACTCGGCAGCCGCTTGCAATGCTCTACAACGACCAGTCAGTGTTGGAGAATCACCATATTGCGCTGGCATTTCAGCTGACCCTTCAAAACAGCGGTAATATCAACATATTTGCGCGTTTGACAAGGGAAGAATTTGCTACGCTGCGACAAGCTGCCGTTGAAATGGTTCTTGCCACTGACATGAGCCGACATTTCGAATATCTAACAAAATTTCAACAAGCTGTAGCGAGCCTGAAGGTCTTCTTTATTTCTCGAAACTGATGATTTTTGTGAAAAGTTATTTCCTCTACAAACTTGTTAGACACAAAAATGGAGTGTTGAAGAAGCATCTTTCAAGTCTGGATATCGGACCTGTTTCTGCAGTTTCACGGTGTCACTGCCATAGAGACGACGTAACTGCCTGACTGTATATCTGGTCAGCCATCCCATCAGCGTACACTGATCCGCCAACCACTATAGTGGTGGAAAATTAGGTTCCAAAATTTAATTTCACATAAAATCGTTTCTTCTCAACTGTCTCAAAATGGTAATAATCACGTTGTTTGCTAGAAGCGGCGGACCATCCCCTCTCGACTTGCATTTTATATGAGTTTGCAGGAGAATGAAGAGAATGCGAATAATATTTCATTGACGATCTGTCGGATGATGATTAAATGCGCTGACATCGGAAATCCCACCAGAGAATGGTCGCTTTGCCAGAAATGGGCGATGCGCATCGTCGAAGAGTACTTTGACCAGGTTTGAAATGTTACTATGCTTAGCATTAAATAACTTTTTTGGTAGAACTAAAGACCTGTGGTTCCAAGCCACATTTTACTACGGCAACCCACGTTTGAGATAATTTTTTCAAAATTTAGAAATGAACAGGTCCACCGAACAGGTCCAGTTATGGCGCTGGTAAGACCAAAAACTAAAGTCTTAATGGACCGAAACATTTCTTCTCAATTTTAAAACTTTTTATTCTCTCCTCCAAATCACTCTATTTTTCTTAATTTTTCCTTTTTTAATAAAAATTCTGTTGAAACGTCTATCAAAGGTTCCGTTACTTCTACGACCTTACAATGCTATGCATCTGATAACCATTGGCTTGGATACACAGTTTCCACATTTTGCGTTGAGACGTTGCGCCAAATATGAAACTCAAGAGAAGAGAACTAACCCCAGCAGTGCCTGGCATCTTACTGCATACTAATGACATCGAGAGCTGACGTATTAAGGCTTAGTTTGCAGACAACCGAAGAGCGTGAGAAGGGATTGCCGTTGACAATGGAATTGTTCGACCGCAATGTTTGCAATGTCCCGTTGACGCAGTGCGGCTTCATCGACATGTTTGCACGTGAAGCATTTACAAGTTGGAGTGAATTCTCGAACTTACCAGTACTACTTACGCAGCTGGAGGCCAACTACGAGAAATGGCGACAGCAGACAGCCGACTGGGATCCAGCAAGGAATGCTAATTTACGCGATGAGCAGCGCCAGAGCTTACCCTGAATTGTTTCACTGGTGCTAGCAAAGCGATATTATTTTAGAAAAAAGTTGTCATTGCCGAACAGTTTCCGAGGGGATATTGAGTGGAATTCCAGGAAAACATTTGAAAAAATATTCCTACATCAGAGTAATTTTGGTGGGTTTGGTCATGTCCTTGTTCGGTTACTACTAGTGCTGTACGGCTTGGAAATGACTAAAAAAACGTTTTGAATGATATCATGTATAGTAACGTGGCGGACCAATTTGCTGTAAGTACTGCCTGCTCCAAGGCTCGGTTCTAATCCGCTAGTGGTAATTCCATCCACTGAAAGTGTTGCCTGGACTCACCTTCAGCTTGCTTTTAAACGACCCTCAGAATGCAAGGAACCATCGGCAGTGCGATTTGCAAATGCTTACTTTTAGCAACATTCTGCAAATCGGACTCGCTCTGTCCCGTCTGTCACAAAATATCCAAACGGCAAATTTCTAACTCGATGTTAGGGACATTCAGTTCCAGAAATGCACACTGAGATAGTAGACTGTTACTAAAAACAATAATAGAAATCAAAAAAACCCTAAAAAAATGAGGAAAAATGCAAAATTGTTTTTATTTAAAAAAATAGCGGGGAACTACCGCATTCCATGGATTCTTGCAAGAATTTCCAGTAGTTCGGTTACTACTGGCAGAATGCTTAATTTTCGCCTGTTTTCATCTGTTTGTAGTGAAGCGCAGCACCACTGAAATGCAACTGACGACTGGATGACTTGGGGTTTTTTGAGGCAGAAAATGTGTGCATCTCTATCTCGTATACACCAGTAGCTTACGTCGCGACAAACAGCTCAATAAATAGCTTTTAATAGGAACTGCTTTATTTTTGTATGATTCAGATTAATTTCATTGTTGTTAATTGACATATTTGCACGCGTTCGTTCTATGATTACAGTGTCTTTGTAATATTCATTGTCCTCCTGGCATTTACCAAAAATTCCGCGAGCTTTAAGCGCAATTTTTGATAATTTACAGCCCATTTTCAAGATCTGATTGACGGACTGTTTCAATTAGGGGTTACTGTTTGTACTAGTGAGAGCATGCAAAGAAGCAGGAGGGAAAAAAACTTCCTGGAAGATAGAAAGAAACACCACAGATTAAGGATTTACAACGCTAGAAGTTCATATAAGTTAATTCGCGATAGGAATATATGGGCTACGGAGTGCGAGCATACTGGACGGAAAAGACATATGAGGAAGCATTTATCAATTCCCCAAGAAATTTTCCAAAGCTGCGAGGGCTGACGAGTGATCAGCTGAGGCCAGAGTGGACGCACATTCATATGTTAATATATTTATTGAGATTTTAATCGATGTGTTGATCAAAAAGGCAAATTGCTCACTGATGAGTTGTTCTTCCTGTTCTCTTCTCTTTAATGATAAAGTGATGTTTGAGAAACACGACACGATCTTCGTACTGGCACAAAAGCGGCCCGATAAGAACATCGCCTGCTTTCCTTCGCATGGCTCCGGTTCTTATCATTGATACTTTGATCATTCGCTGTTTCATCGTCTTGCCATCGACGCCGCAACTGCCAACTTCCTTGTTCCTCTTCATTTGGCTCCGATACATTGCACCACACAGACAAGCATCACCATGTTTTTTAATTTTCAAAAACAGCAAAACATACCTTAACAGACTTCTCTTCGTAGTCGCTTTTTCAATGATTTTGAAAAAAAAAAAAAACAAGCCAGTCCTAAAACTACGCCTGATAGTGCTTTGGTAGGGAAATTAATGAAGCAGTCTTCATGAGTTCCCGAAATTCATGTGATCTGCCCCCTGATGTAAAAGTGATCTCACGTTTCTTTTCCTCAAAGTAAAAGACGCAGCGCTATCAATATCAATTGTCTCCCAAATACACATACATACATACACACACACACGCACACACACACACATACACACGCAAACACACATACACGGATGAGGCTAGTTCTACATATCAAAAAATAAATGATATGCCAGAAATGACGGTAGTTGCCGTAGGCTGAATTTTTTAGAACCATAACTGCATATGTCCAACCCGATGCTTTATTTACCACATTTCACCGAGAATCTCGCACTGAACTTACACGGGATTAACACTTACTGATAAAAAAGCACAAAATCAATCAATAAAAGCTGGAAGAGTTACTGCTAACCCAATTAAATTCAATCCCGTTCATTTATCGTTAGTCAGGAGCCAAGTTCCACTAAAAAGTTTGAAAAGCAATTCACAGCTTTACGGTAAGATGAATGAAAGTGGAAGCGATGATTGCTTGGCGCTTCGACTTTAAGTGTCTAAGAAAGCAGCATGAACAAAATGCATGAACTCCTTTCAAAACTGGAATTTGGCAACGCTTTAAGATACTGTCCAAAGGCAAGATAGGAAGAACTCGAAGACCTATTATCTCTTCCAAAAAATAGATGTCGTGAATATTCCGTGGACAGCACTTTAAGGGGTTTCCTTATTTTGTGATCTGCGAACATCTCTTCATAAAAATTGTGCCACATTTTTCCAATATGTTAATTTGTTGTCTGATTTTTCCTCTTTTTGTAACTCGTTTCCTAGTACGGTTTAGTCCTGTCCGCAACAGCCGTTTTTTTTTTTTTTTTTCAGACTCAAAGGCAGCTTATTTCCGGGCGCAAAGTAACTATGCCTCCTGGGATTCGGTACTTTTTATGAAGCAACATTTTCAACAATACTGGAATGATACTGGAAATTTTGAACATACACGTACACAACAATGAATCATAAGCAGTCAACGAAAAAGGAAGAAAACAAAGACAAAAAGAAAAAAGTTAAAAAAATATGTACAGTTTTTCTTCCTAACTATAAAGGAAGGTGTACACGTTTTATATTCCTGCAATTTTCGAGTAGTTCTAGCTTTTGCTCTGAAAATAATTTACTTTCGGAATTATGTCATGCATTAAATTCCTTAGGGAGAACAACAACGTGCGAAACTGACCCAGATAAAAAAAAAGCTAATTTTCACAGACTGAATAAATAAATACACAAAAAAAGAAACTGCAACTAAATTATATTAACTATTTTTTCAGGAGCAATCCGATTTAGCGGAGTGAAATATTTCTTGATGAGATCGAGCGTTTGATGAAGGTACTGTTCGGGTCCCTGAGCATAGCGACTGTATGTAAAATTCGTATTGCTATCGGTAAAAGGTACTGCCGGCTCAATTTGTGTTCCTTCGTGCCATTCATTGAATGACGTTATCGTGATAATCTTCGCCTTCAACAAAAAACAGTTCGTATGTCACATAGCCATTCCCATTTCTCTCGCCCAATCCCCCACTCGTCCAGTTTTATAATTGATAAAATACCGTTGGGCCTAATTTCTAAATTTTTTAAAAATCTTGAAAAGGATATGATCCTGAATTTCAAACAGTTCTCCTCCCCCTTACAAAGTTCCAGCCACTGCATGACAACAGCGAGTAGCATGAAGTTTTTGAATATCCACAACTATCTGAAGCAAATTTGAAACGTGATATGCATTAGAAATGGTCAAAAAATGCATTTTTCAACTTTGCCGCCAGCCAGATCTGGCCGGGGTTGAAAGCAGGTGAGGGCATCAAATTCGTGCTTCCAAAAACCAGATTTAAAAAAAAACCAATAAAGCTCCAAAGTAAAGAAAAATGTTAAATGAAAAACGGTACCCTCGCAGCATGTGCCATTTCGAACATTTCACTGTAATACTGGCCATTTTTACGACCTCTGTAATTGATTGCATTCCACGGGCGCACACGCCGATCGTCATATCCAGGTGCCACCGAAGGAATAAACAGCAAACCATTTTTTCTAAAATACATAATGGATGCAGATACTGCAGTTTATTCCAGATTTACTGCGTCTCGCTTAGCTGTTGTCTTCATCAACAAAACCGAATCTAAAATGGCTGTACACAACCTTCTTAAAAAAGAAATGGAGCAATAAAAGCAATCTGTGTTCAGTGCCCATCGCCTCTCAGTACGGGAATACAAGAGCATCGGCTGCGATGAAAACCCCTTTAAAAAATAAAAAGAATCGGCGCACTGCATAATTGCAATAACCAATAGAAATGAGAGACGGTGGGGATGAAAAACAATCAAACCCAGCCTGGAACGCACCAGGCGGACCGATGCGATTATGCGTTTTTGCACTCTTCGTGCCGTAGCAAGATCGCAAGGAATCACAGTAGCTAACCCTGTGACATACTGGCCCTCGAAGTTCGGGAAGTTAATTGTGCAGCTATGTGATATGTCAGTTGTAAATGCCGACTTTAGCGACCTGACAAATGGAAAGTTGCTGGTCCACGAAAAAGGCCACACTAAAAGAGTTAATTTGGCATTCCATTAAAATTAAAAACTTCAGCTTTCACCGCTCCCGAGTTAGCAGTTTTCCCATCAAAATTTTTAAGTGCCCGGACGTGAGTATCGAACAGTTTTAAGAAGCTGAATTTGAAATCTTTTGGTCATACA